TCCCCAAGAGCAGCTGGGGTGCTGCTGGGTTTTGTCCCGCAGCCCCGAGGGGCAGCACTATGGGACCAACCCGGCAGAACCCCAGCTACTCTGCCCCCGGCTTACCCGATTTGGCTGCTGGTCAGTTTCAGCAGCGGCTGAATTGGGGAAGCTGGGCACAGAGCAGCTCCAATTGTCCGGCTGCCCTGAGCACTTCCGGGTTCCCGATGGTGTTGGACCATTAGGAGTGCCGGAGCATTGGATGCCGGACCAATGGAGTTTTACTGTACAATAATCCCCTTAACTCATGAAACATGGAAATAACAAAAGTTCTTCTTCGAGTGCTTGCTCATGTCCATTCTGATTAGGTGTACACGCACCGTGTGCACGGATTCCGGAGCTTTTTTCCCTTAGCAGTACCCATAGGGCCAGCAGGGAGCCCCCTGGAGTGGCGCCGGTATACCGGTGCATATATACCCTTGCTGGCCCTCCCACCCCTCAGTTCCTTCTTACCGCCTGTGATGGTAGCTGGAGCGGGCTTCAGGCTAATGCCTATCTCTTAGCAGCTTATCTCTTATCCGTTGTATTATAGTTTGCAGTTGAAGTTTCTTATCTAGTTAAGTAGTTAAGTATTGTAAATAGTTATTTAGATAAGGGAGCAGTGGAACCCTCCCGCGAGGGGAGGGCATGCCAGGGCCCCAGGGCTTCAAACCCTGTGCCTCCTGCTCCAAGCCTATGCCCTGCGGAGACCCTCATTCTAACTGCCTTAAGTGTCTGGGTGAGGCTCATCGAGCTGAAAGCTGCTCTATCTGCAAGAGCTTTAAACCCAGGACTAAGAAGAAGAGGGACTTCCGACTGAAACTCCTGCTAATGGAGTCGGCACTGCAGCCTCAGGGCGAGCAGCAGCCTCACTCCGCCCGCAGCGCACTGACGGCGGCACCGTCGGACAGCAGGCCACCGAGACGCAGATCGCCGTCACCGGTGCCGAGGGCCTCCAAGAGCTCGAGGGGTCGCTCGGCAGAGAGGAGTGCCCAGAACGTGCGCCCTACGGAGGGGCACCTTTCTTCTAAGTCCTCTAGGAAGAGGCACAGCCCGGACAAGGGCAAGAGCCCTGGGCAGACAGTGGGGTTAGGAGAGTTTAAAAACCAACATGGCTCCTTCTCCAGGATTCAAATGGTCCTCTTGAAACAACTGAAGCATTAGGAAGCATTAGATGAACATCTCTGAAGCAGTAAAGTATGACATGTATCACAAACACGCACAGGTTTAGGGTAGGATGGCAGTGCAAGTTCATTACTGGAACAAGTGTTGCAAAAGATGTCACCACAGTTTCTACAGTGATGCTACAAGACAGTTTAAAACATAATAAAGGTTGAGTAAGCATAAATGTGCAGTTTAACCTTTAACTTCAGCATGCAATTAGCAAGATGTGATAAGCTCCTGCTGGCACCATCCACTGCTTCCTCCCCAAATTAAGGGCCCACTTCCTTCCACTGAGAGAGACTATACAGCCTTCAATCTGGAGGCTATCTTTACAGCCGCTTAGCCAGAAGGGCCTATTTGTGTATCTTGAGGCATTTATTATTCTTTCAGAAGATTAAAAAACTGACTTTTAGCACTTTCACTTCTTGCTGCTTAGAAAAGGAAGCCACAATGGGAACTGAACTTAGTTTTTCCAAGGGCAGTGTATCATGCTCACAGAAAACTACAAATTCCTGATATCAAGCAACAGCCTTGAAAGCACACGCAAAATTAGATCAACGTAGGGTGCAGTCTTCATCAGTGCCTCCATGGTTGGCATCAGAGTACTCTTCGGAGTTGGAGGCTGAGTCAGTGGTTTCGACTGGGCCCTCATATAGGTCGCGGCCTCGCCATAGGTCCCGCTCGTCGGTCAGATCATCTCACCGGGATCCGATGGCCCAGCAGCAGTCGCAGGGGCAACCCCAGTGGGCTTTCTGGACGCCCTGGGCATACCATCAGGCCCAGGGGCCTCCCCCTTCGGGGCCGGCAGCGGGGTCATCCCGAAGAAGTAGCACCCCATCTGCCACCCCCTTGACAGCCCCCCCGCCTGGAAGTGGCTCGCCCATGGCTTCCGGGCCGAGACCCCCGGTTATTGGTCAGGGAGAACCGGGGGCACAGATGACCGAGGAGACAATCCCCTCAAGGGACTTCTCGTCGTCCTCGCCAGACGAGGCCCTGGCTGACCCCGCACCTCAGCCCCCGTCCATGGACTCCAGGCCGCACCAGGAGCTGCTCCGGAGGCTGGCAGTCAACCTTGCGGTCCAGCACGAGGAGGTTCACGAGGACTTAGATCCGATGGTGGACATCATAGCGGCAGCGGGCCCTGGTCGGGTGGCGCTCCCACTGAATAAAACGGTGGACAAGCTGTCTAAAACCCTGTGGCAGACGCCGGCCTCTATTGCACCGACCCAGAAGGGGGTCGAGAGACGAGACTATCCACTGAAAAAAGCGGTGGACAAGCTGTCTAAAACCCTGTGGCAGACGCCGGCCTCTATTGCACCGACCCAGAAGGGGGTCGAGAGACGATACTATGTACCCCAGGAGGGGCATGAGTATCTCTTTACCCACCCGGCTCCGGGATCCATAGTGGTTCAGGCCGCTGCGCAGAAGGAGCGCCAAGGGCCTCCAGGCCCCACTCCGAAGGCAAAGGAGCCTAGGAGATTGGACCTGCTTGGCCGGAAGGCCTATGCCACAGGGGGCCTCCAGCTACGTATAGCTAACCAGCAACTGATGCTGAGGCGTTATGCTTTTAATATGTGGGCGTCCACGCAAAAATTTGCCAGCCAGCTTCCTCCCGAATCCCGTCAGGAGTTCGGGGCCTTGACGGAAGAGGGACAGGCAGTGGTACGTACCTCTCTCCAGGCGGCCTTGGACGCAGCCGATTTGGCAGCCCGCACCATGGCCACAGGGGTGGTGATGAGGCGTAGTGCCTGGCTGCAGGTGTCTGGCATCCCACCCGAGGTGCAGACTACTATCCAGGACCTGCCCTTTGAGGGGCCGGCCTTATTTTCAGAGCAGACTGATTCCAAGCTGCATAGCCTGAAAGACTCAAGGACATACCCCGGCGCCTCAGAGGCGCTCTTTCCAGGCCAGGCCCTACCCTAGAAGGGGGCAGACCAACTAAAGGGGTCGCAGGAGAGGCCGCAACAATGGCCGCCCTGACCTTTTCAGGGGCAGGCGTAGGGGGCCTTGGTCAGACTCCAAGAGAAGCTCAGGGCCGTTCCCCGGTCACCAAGCCAAGCCCTCATTTTGAAGGTACGCCAGAGAGCAGAGTACCAGTAGCGCCTATCTGTCCGCCCTTTGGGGACCGTCTTTCCCTCTTTTACCAGGAATGGTTAAAGATCACGTCGGACCGTTGGGTCCTAGACCTGGTGAAGCAGGGATATACTATCCCCTTCCTTTCCTCCCCTGCCTCCCATCCCCCTGCTCCTTCCCTTTTCAGGGACCCCTCTCACAAGACACACCTGTTGATGCTAGGGGCCATAGAAAGGGTGTCCCCAGACGTAAGGGGAAAGGGTTTCTACTTCCGCTACTTCCTAGTACCCAAGGCGAAAGGGGGCATGCGTCCCATACTAGACCTCTGAAACCTGAACACCTTTATAAGGAAGACAAAGTTCAGGATGGTGATGCTAGCCTGCATCATCCCATCGCTCAGAAA